AACCTCAATCGCCCACCCAACACTTAGACCACAATACACAAACTTTGTAATGCCAATTAATTACAGGTTTTGTAGTTTGATCATGACTGCATTTACTTTGTTGATACTATGTAGTTTTTCTGTATTATTTAGAAAGATTTTGATAATATAAAAGGGAAAAACACAATATATATTTCACTGTGTGATAATTATTCAAGTCCAGATTATATAACACAGGTATCAGATAAGTAATGCAATTCATCTCCCTCAAAAGTAATTCGAAGTACACTATTTAGAGGCTTGAAATTCAAATACTCCGTTTACATTGTATGAAATTTTAAATGCTACGCCTATTTTGAGAAATGAAGATTGTAGGGAGAGTATGAGTTACGTTTTCGAATCTACTAGTATGTAAATGTCTGATAAATTATTATTTTAAATAATATCTATACATTCAATTTCTACAAAAATTTGGTAGTAATGACATGACTCAATACATAACAATATTACGTAATATATTAACAATTTATAAAAATTTTACAAAATCGATGTGTCATTAGAGAATACATTATTAAAGGAACGAGAATAGTGTTATGAAAATTAAATGTATGATAACTTCATTTAAAACGCTCAAATTAATGATTCCAATAAAGATTATCTTTTTCCAAACAGACCGTCTTGAAACTTTTTCCATCTACAAAACTAAGAAGCGCTATTTGTTTGTAATTAGTTTTCTTTTCACAGAAACCCCTTGCGAAATCCAACCGATCTATTGACGTTCGAGCTTGTTCAACGGCATTTCCTGTGGCGTCTTTCCATCAAATAATTTATTGCTGCACTCCACGAACTGGTCTCGAACATATAAAATTCTACATGTGTACTCCACGCGAAAACATGAATTCCATGCACCCCAGAGATCCAAGGGCTTCGTGATGTTTGCTTTCCGTTCGCAGACGAGTAGCTGCGCCTGATGAAACCTGCTATCCGCGAACGACTCGTTCTAGTGTGTGATTGAGAGCCGAAAAGCTCACTGAAGTGGAAGCCGCTAAATTATTCGCGTGGAGTATTCGCGCAGCGAGCTCGGTCACGTGATGCGAGCATGCGTAACAACAGTGTTGCCACTAATATGGGCTCATGTATGATGGAAATAAGAGTGAGAATTAACCAGTCTGTCGATTAAACAACAATGTGCGGTGTTCGTTCTTCTAAAAGCATTTTTTATGGCTCGTTGCTTCGAGTCTTCAGCTACATAATGTATTCTGTACCGGTTTTATACAATTTTTAAGAAGAGTATGGATCATTTTTCTACCGTTATCAACGGAAGAATACACAGCACATATACCTTGTGAGCGAACCATTTACAGAGAAATGACATTCTACAATTAAAGTACATTCATTAAATACTCATATAGGAGATACACCAAGAGAATTAATTCATATTCTAATCAGCTATTTATATACACATATAACCCCAACCCTTTGCAAAGAACATCTAGTTGTCATTCGTTCGCATTTCCAGTAATTCTATTGGAGCCCTAAGTACTTTGATGTAATGTATAGAGATGTAGCTGGTTGTAAATTTACAGGTAGATATGAACTATTGAAGCCAGCCAATCAAGAATAGCCTTAGCGGTTTCAGGTCATTAGGACCACGGACTGAACGTATAATACTTATTAGGCTCAATGTAACAGGTCTATTGGGCAAATTTATTGGTAAAGGAGGTCTTCGAGAAAATCGAAAAACTATTACGATCGAAAATTAGAAGGTCCAATTGCACATTCAAACATTAACAGGAGATCCAATAGACCATTGTGTACGTCTAGTAACTTATTGATCATACATACGAGGGTTCCAGTGATCGTTTTGAGAGGTACAAGGAGAACACACGTAAAGGGCATGACGAGGACGGAGGCGAGCATTTACCCAATATTTCAGCCAGAAGTTTAGAATGTATTTAGTTTTCCGAAAAAGGCCTGCAACGTACTATAAACACCATTGAAGGATGTCATTACAAGTTTTAGAAACTTATAGTATCTTATCATAGCTCCATATGAAAATATTTGGAACACCTAAAAAGGAATCAAAAGGAATAACAAAGTTTATTCAGTTATACTCACGGCACTATGGTGTAATCACTCGTTTCCTGGCACAGCATGTACGAATAAAATACTCAATTACCAAGTCCTGCCAAATTAACAAAATGCAAGGGGAGCGAATGTAGGACATTTCCAGAATTACAAACATCATGGAGGCATCGACGTGGATCTGCGGTATTTAAACAAAAGACTAAAACCCAGGCCCTACCAATAAATGAAAGTGAAGACTATTTCAACAACTTATTCCTAATAGAGACAACGTGTACGAATTCAGCCGCTATCCAGAGAAGAATTCAAGCGTCCGGCTGCTCTCATCGGTAGTTTTCCTTGGTTTCCCCGATCAGCATCGGGCAGTGCCCTACCAAACGTCCCACGAAAAACGAGCAATCATCCTTTTCTCTTACTTGTCCTTTCCTCACCTCTTACACTTACAAAGACTTCACTACCACATGACAGGAGACCAGTCGGGAGTTTAAAGCTTACCGGGCTAGGGGCGGTGCCCCGCTGGTGGGAGATGTTTGGTTAGAGAAAACTCTCGCAAGCCAACGTGTAGATCAGAGCCGGATCTCGCCATCCGGCGAGGAAGATGACCACCGCCTCCCACGATAAAGACACACACTACACTTACGGCACCAACGAGCTTAGCAATTGACGCTCCCTGAATCAGTAAATCAATTCATCAAACATTATACGCTACACGGTTCTGGCCCCAAGTGATTTTTGAAGGTTTTTTTTTCGTAAAATCTTTGGTTCTCCATTATTGTTTTTGGTTCCGGTCAAATTCTCGCAAGGCAGGCAACAGTCCGCCTGGTGGTCCATTGACCAACGAACGTTTCGCGAAGAGCCCTCTCAAAGCGCCGACGTCCGGATCGCTGCTCCCGTTACCGTCACCTGCCCCAGCCGCCCCTCGCGCGCTCTCCGGCGCGGCTCGGGCCAGCGAGAGAGCACTCGAGGGCCGGCGGCTAACGGGAAGACAGCTAGCGCAAGCACTCCTCGCGAGAAGACCTCTGCCAGTGAGAATTGAATCGCCAGTCCAGTTGTTCCGGGTGACTAGTGGAGCAGCGGAGCAAGCTTTCCGACGCTGGGTAATGATTTGAAATCCTTACGTGCTAGGCTCGGATTCTGATGACATGTCATTTCTTCATTAGTGCATTGTAGACGTGGCAAACTTGGAAGTAAATGTTTATACTGCTGGAAATGAAGAGTTATTAGGTCATAATTTGCCATTTTTCAAGTTATAAGTCATTTTTGGGACCTTTGCGTCATTTTTACGTATTTTGTTTCCTTTTCGTGTTTTTTTAGTGAATGTTCAGTTTCATGAATTTACAATGACATACTATAATAAATGTTTATTGTCTCGTCATTTCACGACGAAATTCACTTCTGCAGTGAACTCAGTTTATTTCTAACTTTCAAAATTATACGGATTATCGGTAGCTTATTCGACCTTCCGAAACTGACGGCTGAAAGATTGGAGCTAAAGATTATACTTCCTCCTAAAAGAAACAATTTACAATAAATATCATTTTATATCAATGCATTTTATTTACACATTTACATTTTTATACACATCTTTTAGTATTTAAAAAAGGTTCATCATTTTCCCCTAATTTTTAAGACATTTTATGTCATTTTCTTCTTATTTTTAAGTAATTTTCAAAGAATGTTTAGGTCATCAGTATCCAAATTCTGTTTATGCGGAATCGATGGGAAATGCGAGTTCACTGTTCGTTTTCACGGGGTTTTCCCATCATTCCTCCATCAGTCATATTACGTCAACATTGTAATCCATCACCCATCCGCCTACACAATGATCTGAAGAATGCCCCAAACCGAAAGGGAATGAGTGAAAGCACATTTCATTCTAAAGGGGACGGTCAGTGGTGAAGTGATCAGACCGATCAACTTCAATTCTCTGTCGATAAACGCGGAATTTGTGATGGAAAAGTGAATTCGCGGCAGAGTTTTCGTGAGTTTTTCCTTTTTTTCTCGTCGCTGATTTCAATATAGTTTCACCATAATTAAAACCATTGCGTCATTACCCATCATCACCAATTGAATTTATTCATCTGTATTATGGCCGGAAAGACACTGGCTAAAAATCATAATAAATTAATTGAAATAATACTTTAATTACTTAATTTAGATAAATTAATATATAAAACTTATACATCTTGGTATTCCACTGACTATTGTGTCAAGTTTATGCTCCTTTTCGATGTATCTCTTCTTTAACTGACCATATTCTAGTTCATGAGATGTCAAACTTACTTCATTTACACCTCAGTTTTCACCAACAAGAAGTAGCTATACCAAAACTCAGCTAAAGTCTGTTAATTTCCATGGCACGTGAAGGGAAGATGATTAAACCAAAGCGATCTCTCCGTGCAAACGATTCAAACATTAAGATAACAAATTCAGATTTCCACGTTTTGAAACAATTCAACCATATACCACACGGATAAGTATTATATAAACACATCTTAAACGCGTGCATTTTTTAGGCGTAAAGTGATGTTTAACCTTCGAAAAGTATTTCCAATATGTGTCGAAGAGGGTCAATGGTTCCCCAAATATTAAGCTTTAAAATCAAAAGAGTATATTTTACACATACGTTTTTACCTTTCCTCCCGTTAATGTAATACAGGGTTATTAAAGTATTGCGCAGGGGGAAACATTATTGGAATCACCTCAACAATGTTATCACAAATATCTGTCGTAAAATGCATGTTTAACATTATTTTAAGTTACAACTTCGCGCACACGTCAGGATTGACTATTAGCGCTTTCCCAGAGATTGTTAAAATTAGTGCAGGTGGAGGGGAGATATTGCAATTTTGTACACGTTTTGAATATATCGAAGAATGGTGTAACGTGTAACTCTGTCGGATTAGAAGATTTTAAGCTGAATCCTTGTAAATACGTCAGGAGTAAGATCCAGTTGAGCCGTTCTGAAGATTATTAAGATATTTTAACATTTCGGGGTAACTTTTATGAAGCTTTTGTGACATTTTCTGGAAAATGGCTGACAATTTTTCTTGATGTTTTTCTCACGAGGAGGAAAACTTTCAGCAAGTCGCTCAATCCCACTACTCCCCTTGAATTAACATCTAGGTCATTAGCGATCACTATTGCATTTAACGCTATGGCAACTGTGAAGATGGCATAATGCAGTGACGATAGGGGACAAAAGAACGAACACAAATACAAACATGGCTGAGCCAGGACTCGAACCGCGATCCTTCGTGGCGACATCGGTACGACTCTACTGCCTGAAGGATGTTGACCATTGGGAACGGCAAATTTAATTTTTGTGTTGGCCAAATGACGAGGACAAAAGATGAGGCAGATAGAAATTTGGATCACCGTTTCTTGCACATTCTTTTTATCAAAATACGTAAAACAAGCACGTTTGCAGAATTTGTGGTTTGTTTAGAAGGTACGCATTGAAAACGTAAAGCTCATACTTCTGCGACAACGGCTAGGGTATTCGATGTGAAATTAAACTGCGCCAACGACTGACGAAAGAAAGTGTATTGATTTTACGAAACTATCAGGAAACGCGGCCTTCAACTGATGTAACGACCCAGAAATCAACAAAAGAAAATACCATCTGTTCCAGGCAACCCGTTTGACTTATTTAGGGTTGAATTTCGACTCATTATTATGCCGTTTTACTTAATTTAAAGCGCCTCTTTCCAATTTATGCTTAAAAGCAGCACTTGAGTAACATAAGAACGAAGACAATTGCGTATGCAATTAATGCGAGTCTCCAAGAGGTTTTTTTCGGCTTTCTAGAAACGTTATTTCATTATTTCCGCATTTTTTCTTCGGGTGTTCTTTAAGAAACTCATTTTTCTTGATATTTATCCGAGTGTTGTTTTTAGACACTGTTCTCCTAACTTTCAAGTAGCTATTGTCTCATTCACCACATGCCAAACCCAGCTGGCTCAATTCTAAGAATTCTTATGCCAAAAGAGCTACTTGCAACGAAATGCTCGAATGCCCATTCATTTCGAGTAATCGAGCACGACCGACGGAGCTCCGTGACCGGCAAAGTCGGCAGCGGAAGCGCGACCATGACAGCTCAAACCTTTTATACAATAACAAAGAGAAGTAGTAAGTTTAAATACAGTTTCTAAGCGTTCTCGAGTCCATACTGCACATGAGGCAAAGCAACTTGGCGCAATTGCGGATAAATACCATTCATACGTGCTCACGTTCATGAACATTTCTCGGATGAGCACACTTTATTATGAAGAACTGTTTTGATTTTCGTGAAGTGCCATTTTCAATTTACAATATATAGCTGTAATGTACAATATAGAATCTAGAGTTCAATTTATAATAAATTGTTTAGGGTTGTACTGACAATAATGGCAGAAGTGTGAAGCAATGAATGCGTATGAATGAAACAAAATTTCGACGACAATCATTCAGGAATATTTTGGAGAAAGAGATTTGATTTTTCCGGCTTTGACCGTTGCGTTGCGTTGCTAACTATTGTATTCCAATTGAACATTGTCCTTATTCTAAGTATTTTTCTTTTCTTTTGTTTTACTGATGCAAAACTCTCACTTCTTCCAGCACGAACTGCTTACATTTCATTCCTACGAACCATCGTTCATCGAACAATCGAGCTGAACGTGCAGTGGTCAGGCACATCCGTTGTGAAGCCGCACCCATACTTCTATTGGATATTTCTTTTTAAAATCCTGTTAAAATGCATTTTTTATTGACTAAATCCACACTACGTCTAGAGGAATGGAAATTTGAAACATATGAATAAACAAAATTCATAGATACATACGTACGCTCATACTTACTATTTGGCAAGGAAATACAATTCCCAACGATAAAAAAGAAGAAGACAGAAGAGTAAAACGAAAAGTTATATATTTAATACAATCTTTAAAGAAAGTTGTTTTCATTAGTTTTCTGTCAAAAGGGTTCATCTGGTTATTCTTCTGAGCATCCTTTTCAAGCTATAGTCGTCTTTCTTTTATTTCAAATTACCATTCATCAAATGCCGATTACCTTATTTATCAGATATTCAAAACAAAATAATAGTACTTACATTTCCCAGTTTCGTTTCCAGCAACGGAGCGTGGCTGGCAGAGTCGCTCTCAATCTGCACCAAAGAAAACATCACATAGAGTTTTCCACATTTTTCAAACGCAAAACAAGTAAAGCATTGAAATATTTTCCCTCACAGAGAAATAATATTCGTTCCTGCAAATGCTTGCGAACATAGGACGGTTGTTCGACGTTAAATTATATTCCATTATTATAAAAAAAATCTTCCACTACTCTGTTTCAAACGTCCGTTTTCCATAAACTGGGTAATATGCTATTGAGTTTAGGATGATGACACTACTTGTTTTAAAAATAAAAATGACGGTTCGACTTTATTATGCTTTCTATTCGACATTTTAAAATGAACAGAATTCCTTGGCAATTTCAGGTATCCTGCTCTCTCCCGTGTACATACACCCCAGAATACGACATTCTTCCATACACACAGTCATTCTCTCTTTTCGAGAAAGTAGTGTATGACACATCTGGCATCGTGAATATCTCTCGGTACAGTCCATGGTCAAGAAAACTAGCACATACACATTTAAATACAATCAGGAATAATAGAAAAGTGGCATCTCATACGGCTATCTGAAAGTAATAGAAGATAATTTTCTTCTAGCTTTCCTCATTTGTTTGAAAGCAAAGACGTCTTGTTTATCAGATGGAAGAGCAAATTCTGATACCTTCGGCAGCAAGATATACATTTCAACTCTCCAAATCCCGGTTTCATTCCGAACAATCGTTTCCGCCAAGTCGGTTGCAGAACCCCGCCCACTCCGTTACCGGAAACGCACGGCCGCGTCGCCGCGCTTCGAACCCGGGCCAGCCGGCTGGCCGGCGCCGGGGCACCTGCGCGGAGTCACGCGCGTCCAGTGATCCGAGACGCCGCCAATGAGGAAGCACCCGAACCGGAGGGAGCCGCTCTCCAAATAGGACACGACAAAACACACACACACACACACGAGCCCGCTCGCAGGCCTTTGTGGGACTCCTCCAAGACCTTATCACGCGGTCGTTATTCCCACCCGAAATTGCCCCGGACGCGGCCAACCCATTACTAGCACCTCGCGACCTAATGGAAAAAAATAAGAAAAAAAATAAGATGGTAAATGTAGGCAAATAATTTACGTCTTTATCAGGGTTCTTTGTTTAATTAGAACGTGGACGTGCGGTGGGGAGTCGGTGGGTTCTTAAGATGCGCACGTGATATTGCTCTCTCCACGTGGGTCTCCGCGGGCCGCGCTTCTAGTCTAGGGGATGCGAGTCCGTGATAGGCCGAGCAATCGCCTGCCGGCGCTTTATTACTCCGGCCAGAGCCATATACAATAATATCAGGCGAATATTATCGGCGAGCGGCCGTTTCGAGCGAACGGCTATGCCCGGAATGTGGAGAGCTAACTGGCCCCGCAGCGATGGCGGTTCCCGACCGCCACTTGCATGTGTGTGTGTGTGTGTGTGTGTGTGTGTGTGTGTTCTGGAACATAGAGCAGTCAACGGGGATGACGGGCCGGGGCCCAGGGTTCGATTTCTGGAGTGCACCGCGGAAGAGCCTGTGGCTAGTTGTGGTCTGGTTGCGCTTGGAGAGATAACGTGGCACAGTGGTGCGGGATTCGCAGAAATGCGGAAATAATCCTGTTAAGTCAAAAGCAAATATTTGGATGAGATGACCAGAGGTCACAATTGGTATGGGAGGGGAGCCCATAAATTCTTTTTCCATCTCATGTTTTAAAAAATATAATTATTCTAATTATAATTTTATTTTCAACATTCTAGATGAATTCAGAATCAAGTTAACTCGTGCTTATTGGTGCTTTCATCAACTACATTAAAACATCAGTATTGTAAATATCACATTTTCTCCATTATTGCAGAAGAATGTGGTCGTGTTAATTTATGATCATATTATTTTTTTGCTAATTTACAAAAATACAGAATCTTGAAAAACGGGACCAGCGCCTGCATTTTACCTCTTTTGCTAAATATAAAGGGAAACATTTCAAAGAAAAATTCTGGCTTGTGTTTGAGACAGCAATTTATTTTTCGCAAAATTAACAAAAACAATCCTTATATTTTTCAAAAGTTGTAGAGATTATTATTTAAATATCTGTTATTAAAGTGTAGAGTGTTTTAAGAAAAAAGGTTAAACATTTCCAATTTTCAAAAATTAGAAAGCTTCAATTAAAAAGGACACGTGTGCCTCTTTTACGATTTATTTAAGATATTTTAGAAAGAGTTTTGATAAAAATATTTAGAGATATTTTTGAGAAAATTTTAAAATTATTTTTGAGGCTTCATTTAATGTATACAAATACCAAAATATTCCTTACAAACTTGTAGTTCGCTTCGCGAGCTCGTCCTGATCGATCGAGGTATATATTTTTTGGACAAAATTGCCAGAACGGTTTATCCCACAACGTTGACCCCAGCCGGACGGACAAACAAGTGACAGTCACGTTTTGCTTTCAGAAGATTTTTTGATATTACGTACCATAAAACATGTATATAGGCAACATAACATATTAGAAGTTATCTACTACATATAGCAACAAGATTAATAAACTTTTTTCTCGGATTTTTCTATTGAAAAATTGCCGACTTTTGTCGCATCGTTACAACACTGTTTCTTTACTATTCGAATTCCTCGCTCTTTCCTTTCCCGCGTTGCGTTCATCCTGAACCACTGTGCCCCGCCCGAGGGCCCCGTTGGCGGGATCCCTTTTTCTTTACTACGTACATAGTAAGGCAAGAAAATACAACCATATTTCATAATTAATTCTGAAATTTTTCTACGTTTCTTACTTTTGATCAACATATTTGATAAATATTTTTAATATTAAAGATTTGATATACTATTCGAATTCGGTGACCCCGAATGATCACGATGTTTCAAATTCAATACAATGCACTTTATTAACCGCTTTTTAGTTTCGTTTTCGACTCGTAAAATTTTCATATGTTTCGCAAATTCAACAATCCTCGTTCTTTCCTTTCCCATGTTGCGTTCATCCTGAACCACTGTGCTCCGCCGGAGGGCCCCGTTGGCGGGTTGCCTGCGCTGTATGTGCGATGATACGAGACGTCGGGGGGCCCCCCACATCGCCGGCGCATGCTCCGCCACTTGACGAAACGTTCTGCACCAACTGACGCTCGCCGCTCCACAAATGTTACAGATAAAGATAATGCATCAATTCGTGCAACCTGTTTTCACTAACGATCAACTTGTACTGCCCCGAACAATTTAAAAATTGGTTGTGCTTATTTTGCATCGCGATCTTTGTTTGGAAGGGAAAATAGAGAAAACCGTGTTTACGATGTCATCAATAAACAGAGAACAACGATTTACTCTTTGTTAAATATAATGTGACATGTAAGCTTTGTAATCTTACGGAAATTCAATTATAAGATTTTAATGCATTAATGGGTTTCATTCTGTATGCAATGTCGGCAACATACATTGCTCTAAAACTATTATTATTATTATTATTATTATTATTATTATTATTATATTATCATACTATATAATTAATTTTTTAATCATGTGCATTATTTATAAATATCATTGAACTATCAACAAGAGATAGATTGTCGATATTAACTAAAATTCATTGCAGTAAGGAAAACATTTTCAATATTGCCACAAAGTTCTGCATTCCAAATATAAAGAGACAATGTGGAATATCATTCTTGACTTTTCTGACAGCGGAACAGTTGTCAACAGACATGCGTAAAATGAGGGAATATTCAGAAATTCTACAATTTATCTACGGGATTCTTCTGAATATACTATATTAATGGATTTATAACAAATTTATCTTTAAAAATTCAAATGTAATTTTATTATCCTTTCTAAAAACAGGAGGGTACCAAATAAAGTTAAAAGTAGTAAAATTTCAGAAATTTATACCAAAAAGGGCTGGAAAGAAATCCATTTCAGGCCTGCAACACGTCTATATGCTATTCTTCAGATTTAAACTTCATCTGGCAATGTAAATATTGCATAATCGCAATAGGAAATCAACTTGTTACTCATAAGTCTTTTACATCATTCTTACAAAGGTGTACATTGAACTGTGAGAAAACTAAACAAGATACGCATAAAAGTGAGGTAAAGACTTTCATTTGCTTAACTTACACAAAAATACCGTTCTCCGCAACTCTACAAAATCTCAAGAGCCCTTCAAGACAGGAGAAAAAGTGAAACAAGTGTAGGACAAAAGCAAGTGTTCAAAACAAGCCATTCTGGGTAGAAAATTTCGTAGAAACATTTTGGCAGCATAGCCCCCCACTACCAAAGGCATCTTCCGAAAACAAACTCTTGTCACAACGAGAACAAACAGTTTCATACCGAACTACCAACGGCACGAGGTCCTTTGACAGCTACGAGTGGCGAGGAAAAAAACTGCTATGTAATTCAACACGTGTGCTTCGTGTGGAAAAGACAGTCGACGCGCCGGCGGCGGCGAAGGCAGCCCACAGCCTCCCCCCCTCCCCGGTGGCCCGCTGCTCCAGTGGTCCGGTGGTCCGGTGGTTGTGTGTGTCGCGGCCTCTCGTAATCCCAGGTAATGACACTTAACACCGGGTCCAGACCTCCGAAGTGCCCCGTCGTCAGATGCCACCCTCTTGTGTGCCTCCCAACTCCCTGTCCACCGACCCCTCAGGCAAATGTGCTTCTCAACGAAATTTGACACCGACTCACATAAGAAGTGCGTTGACCCCTGTCCTAATCTTCATCATCGGAGAATGTCCACGAGGCTACAGAAATGGCCGTTGCATGTCGTCTAGCTATATAAGAGACTTTTCGGAGGTGTTCCCACTCGTTCCTTTTTTATTTCCTATTTATTTATTTTTTACTCTTTTCGACGCGAGCGCGGGGGGAGCGAGCGCGGGCGGGCTAAGGTATGAAGAGATTCTTTAAGGGGGGAGCCATATTTATTTCCCTCTTTGGAGACGAGAAGCTCAAAAATTGAAGCGCGCGATAGGAGATGGAGAGGCTTCATCTCCTCTTCGGATCTCGGATTCGTTCCGCGCAACGAGACGACTCACAAAGGTCCGCTTGGGAAACAACGAGGACAAAAATATGTATCTTCAATATATTGCAATTTGCAACTAAAGCTTCGAAGCCCTGTATTTGAATCTTGACCGTCACGGATTTTCAACATTGATTATATATAGAGCAAGTTGGAAAACAATCAGTAACTAGATGAGTTCTACAGAGAGGCTATTGTGACCTACGAATTTATTTCAGACTAGTTGATGAAATGGTTGCGCAAAGAAAACTTACTACGGTATGACGTAATAAAAATGGATGGTTAGTTATTAAAAAAAATATTATCATATTAAAGATAATTTTTGTTGTTTAAGGAAATATATTTGTTGGACGTTTCTTCTGGAGTAATATGATATCACTCAATAACATTTGTTAGGGTATTTACTTGCACTTCACTTGCAAATAAGATATGGAACGGCCTGTAAAGAACAAGAGATGCGAATATGAATAAAATTGAACACAATGACAATATCACCTGACATGAATAGTGAACACAAAAACATGACAATATCACGTCATGTGAAAAGCAAACGTTCATTGACTCCTCGTCAGTGAGAATGTTAGGATGAGTCATTGACGTCGATGTTTTAAAAACATCGATATTTTTAGAGAAATATTTATTTATTGAAGCCTGTGTTTCTTTCACAACCATGTTTTGAGCTAAATGTTTTTTCTTCGTTAGTATTTCTTTTTGAATTAGAACATATCATAATTTAAAACTACAATTAAGTTCATATATCCACAATTTGAACATTCTTCGAACAAAAATTATCACGAGAGAAAAATAAGTTACTCGATTTTTTAAAAATTAATATAGTGGTTATTTTTGTATTATCCAATACGGTAATGCAGTTTGTTAATTGATCTGCATTCTTTTACTTTTTTGTCATAAAAACATAAATTACAAATTAACCACGACCTCCGTGACATGGGATTGCCCTCTTTCCCATGTCATCTTGAATTTTACATGTTTATAAAATTGTTATACAAACATCGATGTTGAAAAACATGGAAAGTTTAGGGCCGATGTACTTTTATCATCAACCTTTAACATTTGAACATTCAAGTTTTAAAAATACGATGTTTTTCTGTCGATATCGCATCCCGAGTGATGTGTGGTGTGATGTCGAGTGATGTGTGGTTGATGCCAGGCGCGAGCTGCCTCTTCTCCACAGCGCGCACTCAGAAGGAAATGATCTGTGTTGGAAGACGCTCTATTAGCAGGGTTTTGCGCCGGATAAAAAAATTGTGTTTCGGATTTTGTTTCCCGAGTGCATGAGTCACTGGGAAATGTTAAAAGAAACTTGTTTAAATAATTTTCAGTAAGATGAGACAAAGTAGGTGCTATTAAGCTGATTTTTATGAACTTGAATAAGGAAAGATATCAGATAAACTGAAATTCACTAAACAAACGGAAATATTGAGTTATTTCATTTTTCTCTACCTGAGATATGTCGTTCTTACATTTATTATTTATCCACGTATCATGCATTGCTATTTAGAAAAAGTGAAGATTAAGGATACACAAGGTATCCACTCTTTTTAGAGAGAAAGAAATACTAAATATCTAAAAAACTATATCGATGCATATTCGTTACATAGTTATCATTTCTTTTCATCATTGTCTCTCCAAATTAATATAATTTTGTTTCTAAATTAAACAGCTTTTTTTAAAACATAAACAACTCATAATAAAATTAACTCCAAGAAGCATTATATTTTTTCACGTTCTACTCATAATGAAGGTAATTCATAGAATATTGTATTGTTGATTCTTGTTTCTATAAACATGTAAACTAGAGTCAACAATATGTCTAAAATTAAATTAGATTTATTTTTATATAATACACTTCACCAGTTCGAAGGCCATTATGACTATATTAGAGAATATAACCTTCAAAGTACGTTAAACATAAGATGCTCACTCATCCAGGAGATGTACATCAGCTACTCGAACACATGTAGCAAACTGTAGACAAACAAACATTAAGCAAATAATGTTCACAGCACTAGAGAGCGCTACATGCAGACTTCGGCCAAAAGTCTACAAGACAGCATTTCCTCGCCAGCTACCTGCATCCTCTCAGCAGCTCCAAGAAAGCAGTGCAAACAACGGAATCATCTTTTACGTGCCTCGCCGCCGTCGCTCAAATGTTCATCTTCGTTTTTGCCACTCGAATTCAAGTTACCCATGTAAATCAGTAACTGTCGGCACAAGTGCCGAGGAATCCGGTTGGAAAGACGGAGTAACGTGGCAAACAGGTGTGAAGGCAACTGCTGGGCTCCGCGAGATCTGGCATTTCAGGCGAATCACTCTCCCACGTAATGACTGTCAATGTACGAAGTATTGAAATTGAAACTAAGAGTCGGTAGATATTTACGGAAGTAAATTTCTTTTACTGTAATAACCTTATAAATGAAACTCATATATATATATATATATATATATATATATATATATATATATATACCTCTTTTACAAAAAAAAATAATTTGTGTAATATAAATAAGTTAACATGCATTTGTCGTGTGTTCAGATAGCTAAACAATGACACCCCCATGTTTTGGTCATTGCATTCAACTAAATATTGCTGTCTTGCCATGTCCTGGCACTCCTGCCTAGGAAAGGGGGCCCCTCATCCATCCCCAATCACTCAACGCCACGCAGCTGCAGCCACGAGTATTGGAATTTCGCTCCCGAAAGAAGTACAGA